TTTTTAAACAGGGTGACCACCACCCCAGTCTGCCAATCCAGGGGGACTGCCCCCYATSTCCATGCGATATTGCAGAGTCGCGTAAGCCAACACAACCCTACAACATCCAGAGCCTTAAGGAACTCCGGGCGGATCTCATCCACCCCCAGGGCCCTGACACCGAGGAGCTTTTTGACCACCTCAGTGAATTGAATTGAATATTTGTAAGGGGGTCCAATAAAATTTGACACAACAAGTAACACTGCAATATACAGTATATATAGTTTTTTTTTCAATCCCAGGCTATAACCAAATATTGTGAAACACGTTACTAAATGTTTACCCATCAACACAACATGTTAACAGCTTTTAATGATTCAACAAATGTCAAACAAGAAACTCAAACAAACTACAGAAAACAACTTTACAAGAGTGTACCTCAGTGAAATCTGCTGCAGCACAGTGTACAATTTGATATGGAATTGCAAAACCTTCCTCAATAATCTGTTAGTCACTCCTGTATCTCTTCTCCAAACACCGTTCCTTTTCTTATCCGTATCTATCTGCAGGGGCGGGCTGGGTTTAAAATTCAGCCCYGGAGCTTGGTTTAGAGAGGCTTTTWATCTAACCGCACAACGGATGCAAGCAGAAACATAATTTCAACACAGATTCATTATTTGCAGGATTAAAACACTGTTTTTTCTACAATCAACTACAAACAACTTATCTTAAATATCAAAGCAAATGCTGGGAAACAAAAACCAACCTCAAAAGATAGACCTATAACACCCTAACATATCTGTCCATCCATTTCCTTCTGTGTCTTGTGCTGCTTTATCAGCATTAAGAGAAAATCAGTAATAATGAAGATTATAAATAGCTCATTACCAATGGGAAATTAAATTATCTAATTCAGAAAGCCACTAGCATAACTTGCAGAGGTAGATATATGTGCTTAATATTTCTGTGAGACTGGAGCCTCGTAAGATCCCAGCATTTCAGTCCAAAATTAGTCTGTCACACCAAGGCATGATCACCGTCTTAATAGTGTGGGGGGGGGCACACACATTTTTAAAGGTCTTTTTTTCCTGCTTCGGCTGAAAAAAGTGGGACAGAGGGCACAGATATTGGAAGTGAGGGGGACATGTCCCACCCAGTACCTATAGCGGTTACGCCCACCATCAAACATATACTTTCACTTTCTCTTGAAAAATCTGGTGAAATATTTTTATCCACAGAGTCTTCTGTGGTTAAAGATGTAGATTTACCTATTTTTATACCTTGTACACATTTGTGGACCAAAACAAATGTATTAAAATCAGTTTAGATCATCATGTTAGTGAGTGTGAATCCTTACTAAATAAAACTCATTTTAAGATCAGTCAGAAGAAAGAAAAACATGTTTGAATGTAAATTGTGAAATTTTCAGCCTGTTTCAAATGCCAAAAAGACTAGATTTAGACTACAATCCTCAGATCTCAAAATGTTAATATAATTTAATACAAAACCCATCATAAGAACAGTACTGCACACTGCACATGTACCCGGCCCTGCTTTTTTACTGGTTCCTGCTCCACTTTCCAGCTTCCTCTCATCTTTCTCATTCTCCTTCTCTTCCATCTCCTCACCTGGCCCTTCCTCCTCCTCTTCACTTCTATGACTGGAATCAACTCCATGGCTGACTCTGGACTTTTCAGCTAAAACTTTTGCAGAGAGTTCAATTCAAATAGGCCTACAGCATGAGGAAAATTATCCACACACAGAGTGATCAGACTCACTGCAATGTAATTTTCTTGAGCAAAYATAGTTATATTAATGTAGAAACAGAACAAAGTCTATTTCCTGAAATATGCTTTAATGAAACGTGTCTTTTTCTGGTCAGTATGGGTTGATTTTTGTTTTAGTTGATAAAGCAGTATAAAGGTTTATGCACATATGGTGAAACATTTCTGATAGGCTGTTCTGTGAGCCCTGAACACAGCCAGAAACACACAAACCAAGTCTGGATGATAGAAACATTTAAACAGTGCTTGCTAACCTGGACTCATGCGTCATGCTGCTCGGTGTCATCACTGGCCCGTCTGTTTTCGGTCCCTCCACACAGAAAAGTTCTGTTAATTTGGCGCATTTGGCTGGATCTTGCAGACCTTTTCTTTTCTCCCCCTCAGCTTTTCTGCTCCAGCCATCTCTTTCTCCTTACTTTTAGACATGTTAGTTCGTTTTACCTGCTCTCCTTTTACCGTCTTTCCCAATTTTGTGCCGGGCTGCTCACAGTGAATATTTACCTTTCACCAACTGTGGCTGCGGGGGCGTTGCAGCTGTTGCCGTGTCTTTGCAGCTAGCTAACGCAGCCGCACCGCCCCCGCGACTTTGGATCATATAAACAACAAAATCATCAGCGCGTCTCCGTGAGCTTGCGCAATGGTGCGTTTAAAGACGGCTCGAAAAAATAAGTTACGCCATGTTAACACTAGATTAAATGGTTGTAACAGCTGAAATAAAGCGGGGTACAGAGGGTACAGACTCGGAAAGTGCGGGAGGCATGTCCCACCATGTTACACCCATGGAAAGTGGGGGGGACATAAGGAGGGGCATGGCTGTTTTCAGCAGGATCTTGAGACCCCCCCCATGCCCCCCACTGGAGCCACCCCTGTCTGTAGGCTGCTCTTTTCAGTTCAGACCATTAACTATGGCGTTCATACACACCCAAGGATGAACCAGGGTTGTGCAGGTCAACAGTTTTCTTCCTYATATCAGGACTGATTTCTTTTAATTGTTCCTGGGGTGTCACACAAACAGTGTTTAGGGTCAGCCTTAAAATGTGTACACAGGTGTGTCTGTAATCACTCTAATGCTGTCAACTAACATATTGAAGTTTCCAGAGCCATGGCATCATCCTCATCATCTAGACTTTCATAACTTGTTAAAAAGCAACATAGCCTTAGTTTATTTTAAGTGTGTGTAAAGACAAACTGATGTTTCCTCTGTGGTTTCAACTTAGGAGTCATGTGAGTGCTTTGTTTTTAGTGTGGATTCTCCTGTGTCTGTTTACATGGCCCTTTGTGGTAAATCTTCGATTACACAACTCACAACAAAATGGTTTCTCTCCTGTGTGAATTCTCACGTGCGAGTTTAAATGGCTCTTCGTGGTAAACCTTCGATCACACAGCTCACAACAAAATGGTTTGTGTCCTGTGTGGATTCTCATGTGTGTGTTTAAACTGCCCTTTTTGGTAAACCTTTGATCACACAGCTCACAACAAAATAGTTTCTCTCCTGTGTGGCTTCTCATGTGTCTGTTCAAATGGCTTTTTGTGGTAAAACTTAGCCCACACAGCTCACAACAAAATGGCTTCTGTCCTGTGTGGATTCTTATGTGTGTGTTTAAATCACTCTTTGTGGTAAACCTTCTATCACACAGCTCACAACAAAATGGTTTGTGTCCTATGTGGATTCTCAAATGTGTGTTTAAATGGCCCTTGTCAGTAAACCTTCGCCCACACAGCTCACAACAAAATGGTTTCTGTCCTGTGTGGATTCTCATGTGTCTGTTTAAACTGCCCTTTTCAGTATACCTTCGATCACACAACTCACAACAAAATGGTTTCTGTCCTGTGTGGATTCTTCTGTGTGTTTTTAAATGGCCCTTTTCAGTAAACCTTCGCCCACACAGCTCACAACAAAATGGTTTCTGTCCTGTGTGGATTCTCATGTGTATGTTTAAATAGCCCTTTGTGATAAACCCTCGATCACACACCTCACAACAAAATGGTTTCTGTCCTGTGTGGATTCTCATGTGTACGTTTAAATAGCCCTTTTCAGAAAACCTTCGCCCACACAACTCACAACAAAATGGTTTCTGTCCTGTGTGGATTCTCATGTGTGTATTTAAATGGACCTTTTGTGTAAACCTTCGATCACACAGCTCACAACAAAATGGTTTCTGTCCTGTGTGGATTCTCATGTGTGAGTTTAAATGGTCCTTTTGTGTAAACCTTCGATCACACAGCTCACAACAAAATGGTTTCTGTCCTGTGTGGATTCTCATGTGT